AGAGCCAGGGGAACCCATTTCCCGGAGGTGTATCATCAGCGTGTCCTCCCAGTGGACAGCAACACTGACGTCAGGAGGCCCGTGTGTGCCCCTGGCACCACTTCCTGCTCTGGGAGCCTGGGCATGCTGCGGCCTGTCATTAACCCCTCCTGAAATACCAGGCAGGGGAATGCTGGGAGACTCCTCTGTGTCAGGAGCCAGTCAGGAGACAGGAGGACACTGACGGTGTCCCAGGGATCGGGTGGCGGCTGTGCAGACTGGCTGCGTGGTCTCCCTTCACACTCGTCCCTTTGCTGGTGTGGCCAGGTGTGGAGGGCAGGGTCCTGGGAGGCTAGGAGGACAGTTTCCTGTCGTGATTTCAGAGGCACACAGCTTAAGAGAGTGCTGATAGTGCGTTCCAGTCTGCAAGTGCAGCCCTGCGTCATGTTGACAGATTGGAACGCCCGGCTACCAAGGTGAGTCCACGTGTCCCATCTGTGGAACGTGGCAGCGTTTCAGCACACGGGCTCTGGTCTTCTTCTTCCAGTGGTTTAATCATTCCAGGTCTACATCTTTATTTTTTGTCTCCAAATTTCTATACTCCTGTTGCTACCAGCACAGAACTAAGAGGGGCAGGAGGGCTTGTGTCCTTACCAGGAGCAGGAACGTCTCACCAAGGTGATGCCTGGTCCAGCAGCCCCTGCCGGACAGCCCTCCGCGGTGACGTCCTTCCAACGGAGAGGGGGTCGCCTGTGGCTCCTCGCTGGGGGCCTTAACCTGCTGACCAGACATAGCTAGTCCTGTAACAACAATGCCGGGTGCTGGGAGATTTTAGGTAACACCTCAGGCTTTAACATGCCTGCTGAGCTGCTTGAAGGGATGTGCTTAAATGCTTAGTGTGTAGTTGATGCTCAGTAACTGTTGATGTAATAGAAGCTTTACCCTTAATATCTTGCCGTTTGATAGACAGTTTGGAAAATTTGCTGATTTTAGTGTTGCATCACTCACTACCTTTTTAGAATTGCTGAAAACTGGATCCTTGGATGGCTGAATTGGTAGCATGCTTAGGGTGAAGTTGGGGTTTTTTTTACTTATTTTTTAATTAAACATGGTAGACAAACATTAGGTTCCAGTGATGACCTAACTAACTCATACTGCAGAGATACTGTGACCAAGGGTGTTGAGGATGTTTTTCCTACTGCACCCCACTGTGTGCTCTCAGTGGGCTCAAGGAGCCATCAGGCCTGCTGGGACTGTTAGGAATGGTCACTACAGATGAATTTGGGGGAGACAGAACTTTAGGTGAGAGAGTTGAAATGGGCCTTCAGTGAGCCCCTGTAAGATAACACGTAGTAAGATACTATGATGCCCCTTTCCATTGTAACTTGACACTAACAGGTCCTGCTATTTTGTGGACTATTTTGCTGGCTATCGAGCTAATATTATTATTGTATTTTTATTGAGCAATTTTATTTTGTCTTTATTTGCTTTTCTAAACAAACTTGGAATGGAAGCAGGCAAATAGATTTGTTATGATTCCTAGGATTGGATTGTTTGGCTCCCACCCACACCCCTCCCTTTAATTCCTAAAAGGAACCAAGGATGACCATCTTTCCTTCCTTAGGAGCCTTCGGAGCAGGTCTTTGGTGCTGCAACTTAGCTCCACAAGCTGTTGCCATCCCCATGGGCCTGGCTTTTTCTCTGGCAGTGACAGAGCGACTTTTGAGGCAGAAGTGCAAGGCAGCTTTCGGAGTTCAGTCCTCCCTTGAAGACCTCTCTTCGGAAATGAAGAGCGGCCCTACTAAGCTCTGCCTACATGCAGTTGGCTGTTGTCCATCTTGTCTCCTTAAGGGGAGGACACTTGAGTCTTGCACTGAGTGGGGCTTTCCTGCCTCCGGGGTCAGCGTTTGTGTGAAACGAGGTTGGGAGGCCTGCACGGTCCATGTCAGCAGGTGGGTGAGCAGCCAGGCTTCTGAGGACAGGTGTCTTCCTTGTCTCACGGGTCGTTGTCCCGTCCTTGGCTTGTCTCAGACCTGTGCATGCTCTTTAGTGTGCGTGGAGCACACTGGAGCTGTGGTGGTGTGCCTGGGTGACTGTCACTGTGCCACACCCGCTAGAGCTGCCTATCGTCTGCCGTGGATGGAACTCTGTTCTGAATGTAAAGTCACAGAAATGATTCTTTTGGATAAGCCTTAAAATGCCAGTCGAAAGTTGTAGTATGTGGTATTGACAGAATTCACCCGTGTTATCTGCGATGCTAAACACCACTGGGTCATTGGCCCACCGGAGTTTTCATTTCATTACGTACTGTTATCAGAAGAAGAGAGCAATTGTCAGTGGCCAGAAATATATGGTCATGTCATGTTGATCCAATAACAGCACAAAGTTTGGTTAAGCTATATTGTAACCCTAGTATGTTTTCTCTTTTGTCCTCTAGACTTCATGAGGAAATAATTGATTTTTATAACTTCATGTCCCCTTGTCCTGAAGAAGCAGCCATGAGAAGAGAGGTGGTGAAACGGATCGAGACTGTGGTCAAAGACCTCTGGCCAGCGGCTGATGTGGGTATAGTCTTTGTCTTTCTGTGTCACATGCAAGAAAATGTGAGCACTTGAGACTCACCATCTGTCGGGTCTGTGCACACCTGTGTCCCCTCACTGGCCCAAGGCAGGGCTCTCCAGGGGTAGCCCTAGTTCTGGAGCTGGTTAGCAGTGCACCTCCTGAGTCAGATGCCCCCTGGCGGAGGGGCCAGGACGTGTGTTTGACACGCCGCCCTCTAGGTGGCCCTGAGGCACTCAGGTGTGAGGACCACTGGCCTAAGGGAAGATTTTTGGGAATGCTGTGATTATTTTTCTTGTTTTAAATTCACCTTAAGCTTTGAAACTTGACCTTTCCCCCACCACTCATCATAGCATAAGTTCATTTTCAGTGAAATTTGAAACTATTTCCTCACATACCACTTTTACAATGGTTGAATTAGTGTCCCTTTGAGGTGAGGGTCAAGGGCATTTCCAGTGCATGGGACAGGCAGCACAGCTGTGTCCTCTGACCAAGTTATGACAGATCACCCGCAGGCTCCTGTCCTGACTGGTCAGCCTCCCCTACCAGTGACCAATGGCCGTGACTGCTGACGCACCAGGGGTGGCGATGAGCTGGGCTGCTGAAGAGCAGGTGTTCTCCCCGTGGGCCAGGCAGCGAGCTGACTCCCCTCCTCTCGTGAAGTGACCTACAGATCCTCGGTTCTGAACCTTGGTGCCTGGGACACCTTCCCCCACCCCCCACCCCCCTTCTGGGCCACAGCTATGGGTTTGGAAGTTGTGGAGGGTTTGAACTGGGCACCGGAAAGTCCTTGGTTTTGAGCAAGTGTGGGCGAAGCTAATAATTCTTCCATCTCTTAGTACTGAGTTTTTAAAAATTCCTTCTTGAAGCAGGTCTTTTTATATACATACAGATTTAAAAATTCTTTTTAATTACAGTTGACATACAATATTATATTAGTTTCAACATAGTGGTTAGGCATTTATATAACTTACAGAGTGATTCCCCCAATAAGTCTAGTATGCACCTGGCACTATACATAGTTATTACCATATTATTGACTGTATTCCCTGTGCTGTACTTTACATCCCCGTAACTGTTCTATAACTAGCAACCTGTATTTCTTAATCTTGGGGCAGGTCTTGAATGTAAAGATTTTGTTGGATTGTTTTTGGTATCCCCCCAATTGCAGGGCAGTTTTAATTTTACCTAGGAGTGGGAGTGAAAAGTGAGAAGTGATGGAAGGATGACCGCATGACTTGTCACCTATTCTAAGACAATCATTCTTTCTTTCAGGTACAGATATTTGGCAGCTTTAGTACTGGTCTCTATCTTCCAACTAGGTGAGTGCCAGGGTGAGCGGTTATGTTTATGTAGCAGGGGGCGGGTGGGCAGTGTCTGTCTCTGTGTTAAGGGCTAAAAGTAGGTTCCTTGTATTCAAATTGAAGGCAGGAAGTGTGAGCTAAAGGGAAAGACTGTGGAGCACAGAGGGGAGATTGCAGGAAATAAGATTTAATTTACTATTATGATAATTGATTGCTTTGTATTTTTGCTCTTGCACTTGAATTGATGGAGTACAAAAATGCTGGATACTAGAAACATAAAGAAGATGAGTGAGAGGGCGAGGGGGAAAATGCAGTAGAAAACACTCTGATATTTTTAGATATGTTTTTGAAAAATTGATTATGTTTTAGTGAAGATTCAAGCAAAATTCTAATTAAACACTATCTTGTTAGGATTTGTATTTGGTAGAAAAATGCCAAACGTGTGCATTCTAAAGTTCTCCAGTGTTTACTCATCAAGGATTCTTTTAGTATCCAGATCAATTTTATGTGCATCGTTTCGTTAAAAGTTTTTTCTGTTAACCCACTGTTACCATTTGGAGATTAAAGAGGCTGTAACCTCGGGATTTGGAGGTTTGAAAGTTGTTGAAGGGTTTGAACCGGGCTCTGAAAAGTCCTAAGTTTTGAGCAGGTGTGGGTGAGGCCAGTGGGGAACTGAGCAGGTTCAAGGTGTCCAGGAGTCCTGGGTCTGCAAGAGTGATCTCGACCCAGTGCCGACAGCGCAGAAGAGAGGACCCGGCAATCTCAGAGGGGCAGGCACTTCATTTCAGTCCCTTAAGTATAATAGCTAGTGATGCTGGAGACGCCGGCAGCCTTTTTATTTTCCATGTTTGTCACAGATCCTTGGTAAGCTGCGCCTGCTGTCCTTGAGAGCAATCTGCTTAATGGGCCACGTCAGGCCTGGAAGGAGCTAGGCGCGTGCGTGCCGTAGCGCTGGTCCGCCAAGACGCTTGTGTTACTGCGTATGTAGCAAGGCGAGCAGTGGTGAACGGTCACTTTTCTTTTGTCCAGTGACATCGACTTAGTGGTCTTTGGAAAATGGGAGCGTCCTCCTCTGCAGCTGCTGGAGCAGGCCCTGCGGAAGCACAACGTGGCTGAGCCGGGCTCCATCAAGGTCCTGGACAAAGCTACGGTAAGTGAGGGTCTTCCCGCAGCCGCAGGCCCTCCTCGGGCCCTGTGTGGGCCACAGGTGTTGGCTGCGTTTGCGAAGACTTGTCTGCTTCCAGCACAAGTGTGCTGCCGTTCCGAATTGTTGTTTCCTAGCTAGGGTTAGAGCTGAGGATGTGTTTAACGACAGTCGGAAGCAACTACAGGTTGTGAGAGCCCCCAGAGGCTCTTGGCCCTAGAGTACGTGTGTCAGGTGTGTAAGGAAAGGGCGTTGCGACGAAACAAGGCTGTCCAGGCACTGCCCTTCCTGGAAAATGTAACTGAGTGATTAAACCACGGCTTTTATTACATAGGAAGAGAATACCATTTGCAAAGTTACACTTCAGAAAGAAAAAGCTACCTGTCCCTTCCATTGTTCAAAAAAGACACATTTATGGAAAACCTCTTATCTTGGGAGAAGTCGGAAGGTGAGACTGATATTGAAGCATTCTTGTCAGGGTTAGAAACAGTGCCGCAATGGAAGTTAGTGGCCTGTGGTGTGATGGCTACTAGCTCGCCTGTGCTGCCAGAGGCCGGCTCTCACAGGTGGCCTTGGCAGTTGGCCCCAAGTAAGCAGTTTAGATCAGGTTATGTGCTGAAAAGCGTATTCCTGTACTGACTTCTAGGTGTTTTAAATCTTTAATTAGAACCTGATTGTTTTGGTGAAGGGAACATCCTGTTTATTCCTTAGAGGGTGAAGTCAACAAAAGAATTCCTAGAAGAATACAGTTTAGGGGGTGCTGACCTGAATGGTTGCTTGGGAGGCTTTTCTGAGGCCAGTTTTCAGTGTCTTTGGTGATAATTCTGTTGGTGAGAGGATTTCAAAAATAGCCTTTTACTCTCTGATGTTTAGGGAATTTTTTTTTTTTTTGAGCTTGTCTTAATGAAACCCAAAGTAGAATTGTTTGGAGGAACATCAGTACAAAATATAATTTTAAATGGCTTTGAAGTTACCTTGCATGTGTTCAGAAAGTCCAGCAAACACCATTTGGGGACCAGGAGTTGCTCCCCACACCCAGGCACTGGTAGAGCTGGGACATAGCCGGCTGCGGAGTCTGGGCCTGTCTGCCCCTCTCCTCCCCTCAGGCACCTTGGCAGCAGCAGCTGGTGGCTGTCATTGACGCTCTGTCACTGGGAAGATGCTGAGTCAGGCCAGCGGGGCTGCACAGAGGTGGTGGTGGCACTG